CCGGCGAGCAAGGGGCGGGGCCCTCCGGCGAGCAAGGGGCGGGGCTGAGGCTGCAGCCGGGCCCAGCGTCCGTAAAAGGCCCAATAACAATACCACATTCAGGGGCGGAGCCTGGAGGGGCGGGGCATTGAGGGGGGGCTTTTTCCCGCCAGAGAAATTGGGCGGTGGATTGTGGCGCTAAAATCTCAACGGTCCCGTGGCGCGAGGGACTCTATAAAAAAAAGTGCGGGTGATTCGCGGGAGGTTCATTTGCAAATCACCTCTTCCCTTTCAAGTCCTTACTTCTGTCTTTAACTGCATCTAAGAACTCCGGTTCCTCGGATGCCGTTGATAAAAGCTCATTGCTCACAGTGACGTAAGATTTAAATGAGATGGAGTTGTCTTTAAACGTTCCCAGTTCAAAAGACGACACTTATCGATTAATGGTGGTGATTATGACATCAGGATTGCAATTCACTCCTCACTTAGGTACCACGATTTGCAATTCACCCATTCAGAATGACAATTCAATTTAATGATTGTGCTAATGCTTTTACAAATGCTTTCACAGAATGTTTTCCTAGTATATATATATTTTTTAATAATATGATGTTTTCGGTGAAGGTTTACACAGCAGGTTTACATAGCAATTTCTACACAAGTTGTTCGGTGACATTGGTTCCATTCTTCACAATGCTAAGCAGTCTCATAATTTCCATTCCGGTTGTTCCATTTCCATTAATCTCATTTTCTTGCCCCCTTATGTTCTCATCTTTGTTTTAAAGTAATTGTTGACCGTTTTGTGTCATATACGTGACGTTTTAAAGGAGCACAGTATTTACGGGTGATATTCATTATTTTGTAAGCCAAACTTATTTAGCTACTAGGTGACCTTAGGGGTTAGTTTCGGTTCAAGGTTTGAAGAGTATCTCAGGGTAATAGTCTCCAGTAGCCTTCCAGTCTCAACTAGTCCAAAAGGCTGTTTGTTTTTTAGGAATCTGAAGTTCTGTTCCACATTTTTCCCCAATATTTCAAATATACAGAAAAGTTGAAAAGAATTTTATAGTGACCACGTATATTCTACAATTAACATTTTACCATTTATCTTTCTATCCACCTATCCATTCACCTTTTTTTGATGCATGTCAGAGTAATTCCCAGGCATCCGTGCACTTTCCCCTAAATACTTCAGTGTGCATATTATTAAGCAGAGTTCAATATTTGTTTACAGCATTTTTTCTTTCTACGTAAATTTTACATACAATAAAATGCTACAAATCTTACCTAATATTGGCTGATTTTTGACAAATATATATGCCTGTTTTCACTAGAATCTTCATAGATACAAGGTGAGATTGATCCCACTATTACACCCATTCTGCGGATGGGCATAATCAGAGTCTATGGCAAGAGGAAGGAGCCCTGGTGGTGCAATTGTTAAGCACTTGGCTGCTAACCAAAAGATTGAGGGTTCAAACCCACCAGAGGCTCCGAGGGTGAAAAGACCTGGCAATCTGCTCCTGTAAAGATTAAACCGAAAAAAACAAACCCAATGTTGTCAAGTCGATTCCGACTCATATCGACCCTATAGGGCAGAGTAGAACTGCCCCAGAGGGTTTCAAAGGCCATAAATCTTTACGGAAGCCACATCTTTCTCCAGCAGAGCCTCTGGTGGGTTCGAACTGTCAACCTTTTGGTTAGCAGCCAAGCACTTTAACCATTGCACCACGAGGGCTCCCCTGTAAAGATGACCCAGAAAACCCTACAGGGGCAGTTCTACTCTGTCTTACAGGGTCACTACAGGACTGCTATTGTTATTACTATAGAATATGGCTTGGACCCTGACCAACTCCAGACCACAGTGGGCCCTGGTGGTGAACCCTCCCTCTTGGTCAGTACTCGACCCTAGTCCTAGGCCTGCATGGGAAGGAGTTTGAAGAGCTTATGGTGAGTGTTGTGGATTGAATTATGTCCACCCAAAAATGTATGTATCAATTTGGCTAGGCCATGATTCCCAGTGTTGCGTGGTTGTCCTCCATTGTGTGATTGTAATTTTACATTAAAGAGAATTAGGATGCGATTGTAATACCACCCTTACCCAGGTCACATCCCTGATCCAATATAAAGGGAGTGTCCCTCGGGTATGGCCTGCACCACCTTTTATCTTACAAGAGATAAAAGGAAAGGGAAGCAAGCAGAGAACTGGGGACCTCATACCACCAAGAAAGCAGTGCCGGGAGCAGACCGCGTCCTTTGGACCCAAGGTTCCTACACAGAGAAGCTCCTAAACCGGGGGAAGATTGATAATGATGAGGACCTTCCAGAGTTGACAGAGAGAGAAGGCCTTCCTCTGGAGCTGACACCCTGAATTTGGACTTGTAGCCTACTAGACTGTGAAAAAATAAATTTCTCTTTGTTGAAGCCCTCCACTTGTGGTATTTCTGTTATAGCAGCACTAGATAACTAAGACAGTGAGGCACTGGGACTGGCTGAATTAAGAACCTGGCAAGGCTCCGAAGGCCCCACTACCCAGGCACATGTGACCTCGTGGACCTGCTTCCTGGGCCTCCTGGACAAGGACTCCACCTGAATTCTCCTGACCTCAAAGCTGCATGCTTCAGAAAGCCATCACCCTACATCCTGGATTCCTGGTCTGAATGTCACATTCATTCAACAAATGCCAGTTCATCTCCTCTGATGTGTTTGGTTCTCTGCTAGACTGTAGGAGGGCGGACACCAGAATCACACAGGCACACATTCAAATTCTGACCCCACCACTTACCAGCTGTGCCTCAGTTTCCTCATTTGTCCCAGAGGCAATGTGAGCAGTGTAAACACAATCGTGCACACAGTGACCCTCAGTACAAAACAAGAGGGGCCTGTTCCTGAGCACTCCATTAATTCTACCAATATTTCTTGAGCACTTCCTAAGGGCCCACCACTGTTCAAGGGGCTGGGGATTCCAGCAGTATAGAACAAAAACTCCCTGCCCTGTGGGCAGCTTGCATTCTAGTGACGGGAGACAGTCTGTAAACAAGGCAATAAACCTGGGCTATCAGGTGGGGATAAATGCTGAGGAGAAAACTCAGGCATTGTAAGGGCACAAAAGGATGGGGTAGTCAGGATAGACCACTGTGAGGAGGTGACATCTGAGCTGAGACCTTGTCATGGGTTGAATTATGTCCCCCCAAAAATGTGTGTATCAATTTGGCTGGGCCATGATTCCCAGTATTGTGTGGTTGCCCTCCATTTTGTGATTGTAATTTTATGTTAAAGAGGATTAGGGTGGGATTGTAACATCTTTACTAAGGTCACATCCCTGATCCAATGTAAAGGGAGTTTCCCTGGGGTGAGGCCTGCACCATCTTTTGTCTTACAAGAGATAAAAGGAAAAAGAAGCCAGCAGAGAGTTGGGGATCTCCTACTACCAGGAAAGCAATGCCGGGAGCAGAGCGCATCCTTTGGACCTGGGGTCCCTGCTCCTGAGAAGCTCCTCGACCAGGGGAAGATTGATAAGAAGGACCTTCTTCCAGAGCCGACAGAAACAGAAAACCTTCCCCTGGAGCTGATGCCCTGAATTTGGACTTTTATCCTACTAGATTGTGAGTGAATAAATTTCTCTTTGTTAAAGCCACCCACTTGTGGTATTTCTGTCACAGCAGCACTAGATAACTAAGACAGACCTGAATGAAAAGAAAGAGCCTGCCAACATGGAATGATTTGGGAAGAACTTTCCAGCAAGATGGAAGAGCAAGTGTAAAGCCCTGAGGCAACAGGAAGATACCTGATACAATAAGAGGATACCAGACATTATCTCACGTAATTTATGAGACCCCTCACTATCCCATTGTACTGGTTTGAAAGCAAATGAGGGTAATGAGGAGTCCCTGGGTCATGCAAACTGTGTGGTTAATGCTCTGGGCTGCTAAGGAAAGGTTGGAGGTATGAGTCCACCTGGAGATGTCTCAGAAGAAAGGCCCAGCAATCTGCTTCTGAAAAATCAGCCATTGAAAACCCTGTGGATCACAGTTCTAGTCTAACACACATGGAGTTGCCCTGAGTTGGAGTCAACTCAACAGCAAGTGGAAAGGTGATGAGGTTTCTTGTGGCCCAAACCCACCCCCTGGTCAGGGGATTTCAACTCAGGTGTCACTGAGCCTGCCCTGTACCATCCACCTCTATCAAACACCATGGCCAGTGCTACCTGTGGGGCCTGGGGCTACCCTTGCACTTGGTTCCTCTCCCACCAGAGATATTTCTTTTAAAGGACTATTATTATTCAGTGTTCGGCCCTGTGCTAGGGACCCAGCAGTGACTGAGACAGCCCCAGTCCTGTCCTCCTGGGCCTCACAGTCCAGGGGAAGAGAAAGACTGTAAAAATGGAGTGGCAGAGGCATCCGATCTCCTCTAACTTCACGACGGGGAAGGAGAATCAAGATCAGCAGCCCAATCCTCTGGGGTCTTAAAAGCTAGTGAGTGGCCATCTAAGATGCATCAATTGGTCTCAACCCACCTGGAATAAAGGGAGAATGAAGAACACCAAAGTCACAAGGAAAGCATTAGCCCAAGAGACAGAAAGGGCCACATAAACTGTAGACTGCAACAGCCGGAGACCAGAAGAACTAGATGGTGCCCGGCTACCACCAATGACCGCCCTTACAGGGAAACACAACAGAGAGTCTCTGTTGGAGCAGGAGAAAAGTGGAGCGCAAAACTCAAATTCTAGTGAAAAGACCAGGCCTAATGGTCTGAC